CGTTTTAGGACCCCTTCGCGCACGAGAAGCGGACTCCTTGAACAAGTCGCGCAATCCGCGACACTCCGGGCAACAAGAAAAAGATTCCGAGGTAGGCTCTCGATGCAGAAAGACGTTTCGTGTTCCGTGGATTTGCATCTCCTGCATTCCCTTCCGCGGTGGGGACAGTCCTCCTCAGCATGTTTGGCACAACAAAGGAAACAACCTCCTCGTGTCGCGCTCAACTCCATCTTCCTACTCAGTCGCCGATAGACATCACATCTCGAAGGCGAGTGTCGTTCCTTGCAGAAGTGACAACGAGTGGTTTCCTCTGCCCGTCGGCCTGCACGCCGTTCTGGAGTTCTTCTCCTGGACTGTCCTCTCCGCTCAGGTTGCCTTTGGGAAATGGGCGGTGGGGCCCCATCCTGGGGGGCGCCAGGGCGTTGTCGGGGCGTGGAAGGGACTGATGACACTGTCGAACCTTCCTGATGGACGATGGCTTCGAGCGCCCTTTGCAGGTCAGAGTATGCTGTGGAAGTAGAGGGCCGCTGAAGCAATTCCTGAACCGTGTGTTGCAGGATGCTAGGTGGCGGCTGTGGCGGTGGAAATTGAGGTGCCTGTACCGGCTGTGGTTTCGGTTTGGTCTTCCTTTTCCGTGGCTTCGGAAGTTGCGGTGCGGCTGGAGTCACTGTGGTTGGTGATGGTAGTAGTATGGGGTCTGCAACACCTCTGGCTTGCAGCTGTTCTTTAAGAACCACACGGTAGCACTCATGCACAATTGACATTTGTGCTACGATCAAGTTCGCTGCATGGATGGTAGTCTCCAACTTGCGGGATGTAATGTCATATTTGGCCAGGAGATCAAGTCTGGACTGGATCTGCTCAGGTCTCAGGTACAACATACGCATGACTTCTCTGAAGATTTCGTATCGTCGGAAGTTGATGTTGTAGATGTTCGTGAAAAGGATGTCCATACGGTTGGTGATATCTTCTGGACCTGGCTGCGGCCTATGAGTAAGCTCCTGCAGATAGTTGGTGGCATCTGCGGTCATCCGCACAAGTCCTTCCATAGAGCCAGAAATGAGTAGAACGCTCAAGTGTGAGGAACTATCTCCGAACTCCTGCCTCTTCTGCGGATGGATCGACTTAACCTGAACCTGTTCGAAGAAGTCCTTGTGGATGAAATTGTCAAGAGCGACAAGATCTGCGTGACTCAGCTGCGCCGAACTGAAAATGTAGTCCGTGGAGAGTGCCATGGTCATCTGATGGAGCAATTGAACGGCTGGTCGATACTCTCTCGGCACTACAGTCGTCGTTGGATCTTCCTCGGCCTGGAGCGGGAAGTCTCCAGTGACGTCGCGTCCGTTCGCAATAGCTGAAATAAGCTCGAGCATGGTGAGTGCTCGAGTGTGGGCTTCCTCAGTAACTGGAGGCTTTGCCTCTGTGGAGCGAGAGGGTTCCGGAGCTCGCGTGACCGCAAGCTCATGGATTACCTCAGCTAGCAGCTCGGACTGAGCGAGGCTTTCGCTCCGCTTTGCCCTTCGTGCCGGCTTCCTCTCCGATGAAGTTGATGGCGACCTCGAATAGGATCTCTTCCGTCCTCGGTATTGGTGGGACTTCGATACGGGCTCGCCTCTTCTTGTCTTCGTACGCCAAATCGTCATAGTGTAGATGGTTGGTCTACTTTATCGCTTTACCCTGAAAGAAGGAGAAAGAATGATAGAGGAAAGGAAGGGCGCGCCACATTGACCAAAACAGACAAAATTTAAGGGTTAGTAAAAGAATGAAGAATGAAAAGAGAGAGGAAAAGGAACAAGAACAAAGGTAAGAAAATAAAAGACGAAGAAAGAGAGGTGTTAATTATATAAAGGGGATATAAGACAGGTCATGACATTTGTGGATATTAGTGGGTGGCAACGCGCGGGGTCATAAAGAAAGGTGTGAATAAAGAAGTAGGATACATGCAAGGAAAAAAGAGAAGGAATTAGAAAAAACTAAGTATAAGAAATAAGATAAACAGAAAGTGAGCCACGCGTGTAGATAAAACAATGCGCACGATATTAAATTTCGCAACTAACCTTACCTACACAAGAGCGCAAAAACAAAGGAAGAAACAAAGGAATAGAGAGAGAAGAATGAGTGAACAAGAAAATTAGAGAAAATTATCCAAAAAGGTGTGAGCCATCAAAATTTTAGTTAAAAGGATAGAAAAGGGAAGAAAGAAACTATAAAACAAAGGAGAAATGAAAGATATGGCCCACAATAGAGTGAAAGGGGAACAGTGTAAGAAACAAAAACAAAGAAAGAGGGTCACAATAGACGAAAAAAGTAGAAAAATCACAACTAACAGCCACACGATGCAATCTTTGCACATGATGACTGTATGACGATCGCGGCGGGACCTTCACACTTCATCGACGCGTGGAGGAGCGCGATAAATATCGTGCTCTGTGGAGTGCGACACAAGTCAAGCGAAAACGCATAAGCCAAAAGGCGATGCGAAACCGCGACAGTCACAAAGAAGAGCGCTATCAGGCGCTTGTGGACTTAGGGGGCTGCGTCTTCACCAAAGACTGCATCCCTGTGGAATAGAGTAATATATTCACTAAACACTCTCTGATGATCACACAATAAAGTGTAATCATCAAAATATAAAGTTGGACCACAGCTTCCTGTACCCACCATTCTGTGAGCTAGTTGTTCTGCGCAGTTGATAAGATTGTAACCTTAGGCATATGTGACTATGTGAATCGTACACTTGTGGGGCTATGTAGCTGAAATTCAAGAGAAATGAAATAAATAGACCACAAATTGCGGTAATATCCTCTCGTCGTTTAGATGGTATACGCCAAAGGGATAAGTGTTCCATTCCTACGTATGCACAAGCATCTTTCTCAGCAGTGACCTTCCCATCGTCCTGTAAATGCTAAAACGAGTGACGAACGTATCAAAAGAAACTTCCTGGCGACACATCTGCCGATGTTATCCATCTATCAAGTATAGACAGCTAGATGTTAATAGCATCTTCCTCCAAATGGGTGTAATCGATAATGTCGCCACAATTGACACTTGATGTTAACTGTCGTCACGAAGTCGCTGTAAGGTGGGGAAAGGATAGTATGCTGAGTGACGATTCACAATTCCCATTTGCCACATCTCTGCAATCACATAGCCAGTTGCGTACATTCGAAACTTCGTTCTTTCCAAAGTCGTTCCGTTGTTTTCCAGCAACTGACGTTCAGATGACAACAACTAAGCTGATGTAATCAATGCAAAGAGGGGAACAATCTATAGCGCAAAACACAATGATCGAAACGAAGCCCACAAATCTCTTGATGGTGGGGCCTGATATTAATATAAGACGTAATAGGAAGCACGGGTCTGTGGGGTTACAAATCCAGGGCATTTGTGGTATAGAGAGTGTGTTCAGTGAGACTAGGTATCTAGTAATTGCTTTTGCCGTATGCGTTTAATTCGCTCAAGGCAAAAACTTTCACATAGACACTGTGGAATCAATATAGTGTTCGTGTGTGAGCAAAGTCCTGTAGACAATACTCCTTGCGACGATCTTAATAGCAAACGAAGTAGACGAAATCCAGAAGTGTCGTGAGGACTATGTTCAAACACGAATGTGGAGAGATCAACAATCCTAAACAAGGCAAAGTCGGTTTCTCCAAGGGCAGCAAATCGCAACTTGCATCAATCGCAACTCCTAACCCCGCTCTGATGTTACTAGCAGGGTTGCAATGTCCACAACGATCTTCGATTTCCACAACCAACTGTCGAAAGGTAATCCAATTCGTTATACACGGCCGAAATTTGTCTCCAGCGTCGGACCAGGCGCCTTTTGTCCATAGATTGTCTTCAGGAGCAAAACAGTGTGAGCGATGTCGATGGAAGGTTCACGTCGTTGTGGGCAGATGACTTCGTTGGCTCGATCGAATTAGTCCGATGAAGTATAACCTAGGAGTCTGAAAAATGTGGTCGAACAAGATGCGAAGTCTCTGGATGCCAAATCGTACTTTGCAGTATAAGATCGCTGAAATCTGAAACATGCGCAAGTAGCAACACTTGTTCACCACATCATCGGGGATGCGCAATCTAAGCGTTCCCACAAGCGTGGGGTGATGATTTGGGTTTCTTAGTCCATTTGGCTATTCCAACGAAGAGATCCAGACACAATAAGCCACAGGGGACTCAGAAAACCCAAGAAAGTCTTACTGGCTCTAAAACCTATCTGTTACTACTAGGGATTCTGTGGACATCACTGGATGTTACCGTGACTTTCGGTGTTCAACAGTACTGACAAAATTACACTCCTCAATGGCCTAAGATCATTCTCGTCCTCTATGATGTTCCAATGAAGGTAGATGGTATAATAAGACTCTCGTAGGAACAAAAAACGTAAGTCACATGTGAACTTGAAAGCAGGTCTCCACAATAACCTCCTATCCACGCAGGTGATAGCAACGATCAGGAAAACAAAGTCGAAATCATACACCGTACCTTGTGATCTTCCTAGGAGAATTACTTGAAGAACGCTGACTTTTCATGGCTGGTCGTAATCCATGTGTCAACCATCTGGCTTTCAAGGAGCGAGATATTCTCAGCCGTATCCACAAACAGTCCGTTGTAAAGGCCTGAACAGTCTCTACAAATGGAATTATCACTCTGATCTTACGTTGAGCCTCTTGGGATACTGGCGATGAAACTCCAAGGACAGCACGGTCTTTTGGTGCGTAATAGTCAGTCTGCCGATCATATTCACGGATGAGTGAAAGAAAGAATCACGGTAGCATCATGTGGACGAGCTGTAAGACTAGAAATCTGGGACTAGTGATAGTCCTGTGGGGTATATAGGGCGAAATGTACGGGACAAAGGTTCACATATCCACTTTAGAGGTTTACGACGTCCTCGATGTTTCCGACGTCAAATGTAGAAAACTGACATCCCGACAATGGTGTTAAACGGGTACCGGCGAAGGAGAAATGTTTAGCGATCCTCTGGCTGACGTTTTAAGATGAAGACCGATTTACAACATAACATGTGGCTCGCTGCGAGTCGGAAAATTCTCCTGACGGATAAACTTCCTCAGCAGCTTGCTGTGTCTCCGATGACGACTCCGACAACTGATAAAGGAGATGACGATGACGATGACGTCCTCGGGTACATTCCTCTTCCTCCGGAAATCTACAGGGAAGTCGATGAAGTTGACTTCGAAATCCTCTACGAGATGGATAGTCGCAGTTGTCCTGTACGAAACCCTGAAAAACTAGGCACTGTAAGTGCTGTGGGACATCTCTACTGACAACAAGAGTACTATGGGAACAGGTATGCTCAAAGTTCTCCTCAAAGATGTTACGAAGGTGAGACATAACTGTCGAAGATCTAGTTCGAGTAGGCGTTCCTGGACGTCAAATGGAATCTGCAGTCCTCGAATCGATGATGGAAAGAAATCGATGAAGATCTTCGAAGCGCTCAATGGTATGAGGATTCCCAAACTCATAAGGAAATGCTACGTCGGTTCCGAACCAATGCGATTGCCATCAAATTCCTTGAGCTGTTGATGGAATAAGCTCGAATCCTCCGTTGTATTGGTTCCGCAACGTGCACCTCGACTCCGAGTTGGTTTGAAATCTCTCAACACCAATTTAGCACTTTCCACGTACAATTTTTGCCAACAGAGATGTTACATGTGGATGCTGTTCATTGTGCACAATCTACTTAAACGCACACCGAAGGGCTAAGATTTGGTAACATCTCCATCCAAGGATCACAACTTAGCTCTTCCCTAATGGATTGCTAAGTGTTACGATGGAGGTGAGGCCAAAAAGACCTTCCGTACGGATTCAAGTTACAAACTGTCACGCAATGCCCAGCAATAATGTGACACTAGATACAGTCATCTGTGAAGATACGTCGTGTCACTGGGGAGAACGTCACTAATCACAACTTCGACTGATTGCCTCGTTACTGTCGCAGGTGGCATTAAGGCGAACAAATAACAAGAACAAAGACTTTGACTGTGCTGCGCGCTTCCTACATATTCCACAAATGGCAAGAAGCTCTAGTGTTGATCAGGCACTATGCCACTTATCCAAATCCGTCATACAGAAACCTATCCGTCGATCGCGATGATGACACAATATAGACGTAAACTCGACGTTCGCGCAGATGTAAAGCACAAGTCTCAGTCTACTTACAGGAAGTTGTGAAGGTGTCTAACTCTTAGAGCTGATCGTACTGCTCACTGGCGAGGGTCTGATAGTAGCGCAGAAGAAAGCTGGAACTCATCTGCTTCCTGTCGACTTCCTCATCCTCGTTGGACTCGATGGCTTGAGTACCATAGGATTTCGCAATTGGTCCATATCGATCGATGGCGTCGCAGAAGGTAAAGTTGGAAGTGGTGGTTTTCTGTGGACTCAACCTCTGTAATCGAGATATGTGAAGGTATTCAAACGGAGTGTGATTACCTCGCGAGTGTATTCACACAAATGATGAGCACAAAGAGTCAAAGGTAAGAAAACGAGCGCTAAGCAAGAAACAAAGGACCTTAAAGCACCCGATGCTATTGCCAACAGTGATAGGTTAACAGCGAGAATGCTAGGCAGGAAATTAGGCGGGTTTAACCACAAACAGCGCGGGGCAGATCCCGTTGACGAAGATGGATGCAAAATGCGAGCATAAATGTGGTGGCGATGAAGTTTGGGGGAGATTCACATCCAAGATCACAGCAGGCGATTCCTCCGCAGGCCTGATGACGTGTTTCAAGGCGGACAGAGCTAGTGCCTACCAAGGGCCTCGATGTCTGCAAAAAAACCTGGTCACCAGAGGGCACCGGCAGCACGGACAATAGGCAGATATCACACGGCTTGTGCCACTCAAGGCATGTGAGGGATCACCCTACTCTCAGCTAAGTGTACTGGCGGTAGTCGCTCACTCGCGTCAGCCCAGTCTCATCGGATCCGGCTACTGCACGATGAATGTGATCTAACGAGAAGACGAAGAGCACAAATATGTATACACTGTGCAAACACCTGAAAAGGGGAATTAAACTAAAATTTGCATTGCTAGCTAGGGACGCCAACATGCGAAACGTGTATCTGCGGGCATACGCAAGCAAGGTCCGATCACAAAAGCTAGACATGGGTTTACTATCCCCATGCCTAACTCCGTCCCGATGCACCATGTCGCGGATTGGGGTCCCCAGCTCCCAACGTCAGTGGTAAGTGCTCTCCTGCATCGGCGAGGGGAGCTGAGGATGCCATCCGTGATTGAAGTAACGACACGTGTGGAAGGGTAGCTAGCTTGCGCCATGCTCTTATGGCCTGCCAAACACGGATACACTACACATCTTAGTGGCCCTAGGCTACCAACCTAACCCCCCAATCTCAACTGCCAGCTTCTCTAGCCGCCCCACACACTGTCGGCAGTTGTGGATTCTCAGCAACTTGGGCACTACCATGGATCATGCCCGTCCTCCGACTGATAGAACCTTCCAGGACACAACACACCGCAAAACCACAACAAACATAAACAGCACATAGATATTCCTGGGGCTAAGGCCTAAGCCCTAAGCCCAACACTCGTATCAAAACACTAGGACTCTAAAGGTGCCCACCATTTATCCGGATATTAACCAACACACAAACAACTCATTACAATGGGAAGAGAACACGCCGGCCAGATGTTACCTAGGGGCCGATAGAAAGAAAACCCCCCGCGGAGGTACTCCTTTGCCCTGCGGCAAGCAAGAAGCACCAACCGGGTTACCTCGAGGCGACGGGCCAGTCCTCCATGCGTGGTGATGTTCTTCGCGTGAGTTGGTAAGACGGCGCTGCAGGATCGATCGATAATTGGACTGAGTTGAAGCCGACCGCTCGCGAGTAGACACATGTGGCGTACGTGACTTTGAGCAAGTGAGTTGCGGCATAAGTAGCGAGCGAGAGGGCGGGGCAGCGCGCGAGAACTGGCGTTTCAGGACCCCTTCGCGCACGAGAAGCGGACTCCTTGAAGAAGTCGCGCAATCCGCGACAAAAATGATTGCTGCAGTCGACACAGCTGTGCAGTTGCAACAGCACCGAATGACGCTGCATCGCACCGCTTCGAATACAATTTCAAGAAAGGTCATCGCGAGGCGACTCACTGTTCAAGCCATTCCGTATTGGCCAACTAAGTGATTTGACCAATAGCGAATGGGCGAACCAAATAACCGGTTGAACCGGATAAGTCTGGCATCTACTTTAGAGAACATATTTAGACTGTAAGCAGATTTACGCTTAAATGATGGATGCAACCAGATTTATTCTTCTGACGAACATGTATTTCTCATATGTAGAATATTTATCTGACAATTTCTACAAACATTTATCTGACAGTGGCGATCCTAGGATTTCCGAGGGGGGGGGGGGGGGAACAAAAACAACAAAAACAGAAAACTTTTTCCAGTGAAGGTGCGTGACGTCAGCCACGCACTCCGGAAATTTCGGGGTGCTTCTCAACATTGCGGGATCCAAACCCCTGAAATCTGAAAAAGAGGGCGCCTCCGAAAAAAATTTTTTGCAAGCCTAATTTGAATTTTTAAACTTTTTTGAAAAATATTTCAATTGTTTACAAGAATAATCACTTCCGCATTTTTATAACCCATATAAGGTATTTTCGAAAATTTTTGCGACCCTTTCTTGAGAGAAGGGGGGGGGGCTCAATTCGCAAATGTTATCTGATTACTTTCGAAAGATCCATAACGACAATGGCGCTGTTTTTACAGTGTTTTGAAATTATGCAAGACTAAAAATTGCCTTTGTATTTTGAAAAGAAGGTTTACGGAACAAAAAATTATCGCAGATATTGCAGTTGAAAAGCGGTGACCATTTGTCTTCGAAAACCGAGATCGCATCCGTGTTTCGTCGTAAACCTGAAACAGAGCACTTGTCGTGTGGAAGAATACTAAGTGGAGACGAGGTCAGCGTTGAATATGATGTTATTATTGTATGATGTATACATCAAAGCATGTCTGAGGTATACACCAAAAACATCACACGTGATCGTCCGAAGCTACGAAACCGCAAGTTGAACATGTCCTGCACAGAAGTGAGGGCCCGTATACTACCTCCGAGAAGCCTCAGGAAACTCGAGTTCGGTGTGGCGTACGCTCGTATTGTCTATGAGGTAAAATCAATACATGCTGACTTTTTTCAAAAATCTTTTCTGTCAGGAAAAAGTCTTTCTACCATTAACAACATAACATTTTGGGAGAACTATACAGGGTGTCCCAAAAAAATGTTAACACTGTTTATCGTTAATAATTCCCTTGATCTCATGATTTTCGGCGAGCTTGAGGCACCATTCTGTAGAGCGAGGTTCAACTTAGATTAACAGTATCGATCGAAACACCGATCGCTCTTGGTTACTGTAGGATTACGGTAAGAACTTCCAGCATGTGGAACCATTGTGAAATATGCCCTCTGACAAAATTTTTTTCAAAAAATCTGAACAATTGTGTACTAGGGTTTTCGCGCACGCTGATTTTACTACACAACTTTTTACGAGTTTTTTTTTCAGCTTTTTTGACGATGTAATCACATTTTTGACACATGCTGGGAAGTCAGTTATTACACTTTACCTACCATATCTTTGAAAAAAGTATCATAATAAAGTGGAAATTTCATATCCGAAATCAGCGGCTTTCATTCCCATAGTACAAGAGATTTTGGCTTGTTTGGCTCTGTTTCGAAGCAGAGAATGGCATTTAATGGCCTGAAATCCTTGTCAAATTTGTTACCGTAATTCTACAGTAATGAGGAGAGTTAGATGATTCGCTTCATACTGTTAAAGGCAGTGGACAGGCAGAATAGACCCCTGTTAGATTTTGGTAGTTTTGGGTAGTAGACCCCCCAAGTACATCATAGCCCCAAGCCCTCCTTCCAATTCATGCGCTAAGTCCTGAAAAAAGCGCTTCAAAACTCCACCCGCCCCGCCCACTTCCATTGAGTGGGCGTTATTGGTGGAATTTCGAAGCGCTTTTTCAGGACTTAGCGCATGAATTGGAAGGTGGGCTTGGGGCTATGATGTACTTGGGGGGTCTACTACCCGAAACTACCAAAATCTGACAGGGGTCCATTCTGCCTGTCCACTGCCTTTAATCTAAGTTTACCCTTGCACTACAAAACGGTACCTAAAGCTCGGCGAAAGACTTGAAAGCAAGAGAGTTATTAACGATCAAACAGTGTTAACATTTTTTTGGGACACCCTATATATGATTATTAGGTTAATCCCATAACTAATTCGGCATATTCGAACAAATGTGAATTTTTTTCCAATGATGTATAGGCCACTGCATGACGAGGGCGCAAATGCAGTATTAGTTGAGCGGGTGCAACGCGGCGAGTGCGTATATTCACCGCTAAAACCTGCGATACGCTCTCTGCGGCTAATAAAGCCGCGTTTGCGTTCAAGAATATTGCGTTTTTGTCATGCAGTAGCTTATATATGATATCAATCTTTTCCGAAAGAAAAAAATTGTGCTTTGTAATGGTACAATAATTGAAGTAGCTCGATCTGCGTGCCCTGTAAGGTATCACACTGCAAATCTCATGATATATCTGATATTTCAGTGTTTTCATATTTGTGGGAAACATGCTTTGAATAACCAATTGAGTCATCTTCTTTCTCGATTTTTGTTTTTGCAATCTACGCTGAGAGCATCTAAGTTATTTATTAGGTTGGAAACTAAGTTTTGCAACTCACTAAATAACTTCCCTCTCACTCAGCCTGGCGCACTCAAATTTTGCCACTGTGTTGATTACGACATAAGCTATAAGCGCAGCTGCTGTTTTACCAAATTCTGACGTCGCAGTGAGGGTTACGGTAGGTATATGGTGTAAAGGGGAATACCATAAAATTTGACAGACTTGGCTAAACTTGGCATGATGGGGTTATCCGACATGTTGATTGCGAAAACGATACTGATGTTGCGTGATAAGGGCTTTTTTTACAAGAATACCATGGGTGTACGATACAAGGTCTCATAACAACTGAACATGATATTCGTACTTAGCAGGTCAAAGAACTTCAATATGTAAAGGCTCGGGAAATTTTGTCTGGCGGTCGTCCCCAGCCGCCTTGCGTACAGCAACTCTTTCGAAATTTTGAGGCCAAATCTCGACTTGTCCCTAAATTTTATTTCTTTTTTGGTGAGCCGAATAAGTCAACCTTTAGCAACAATTAATACACGATTTCGGATTATTGCACATGGTCTAGACTGCTAACAACTGCATTTTGCCTCAAAACCTCAAAAATTGTCAAAATTCACTAGTTTTCGAAAATGCTTACAAGGGAATGGTCAGAAATCGAAGTGGCCAAATCAAGCAAACTGCATACCATTAGATGCAGCGTAAAACGCTAACTCTAAATCTATCTTCCTTATCTGCAGAGCACTTTTGTGAACGAAATTATAAGCCGCTAAAGTCCATAATTTTGCTAAGAAATTGTGAGAGTAAAGGGCAAACTTGGCCGTACAAAGCCATTCTTGGTTTAGTGTTGGACCAAAACATGCAGCTAAGTCACTTAATATGACCCGTACTTACAGGTGAGCTAAAAGAGCAATAATGCACCTAATTTTGCAATTTCTATGTACGACTTTTTCGCATTGAAGCTGCTCATAACTTCGCCTACAAAGGCGCTCTGCAGATATGGAAGACAGATTTGAAATCAGCATTCTATGCTGCATCGAATGGTATGCAGCTTCTATGAATTGGCCACTTCGACTTCTGACCATTCCCTTGTTAGAATTTCACTAATTCGTTTTCGAAAATTGAAACAGTTTTGACCAATTGCAGCTGGCACTACGCTCTACATGTTGCCCAAGTTTGAGTGCACCACATCCAAAGAGAGTTGAGTTATAAAAGTAGTTGCAAATTTAGTTTCCATCCTAATACAATGTATTCAGTGTGAAACATGCGATGCGCCTGTCGCAGTGAGGGAGGGCACTCAAAGTAGGGGGGGGGGGATGCGGGTCATAAGAAGAGTGAAGGTAGTTTGGTTAAAATACGTAAGCTTAAAAGGTGATCAATTAGCAGTTGCTTAGTACATGTTCTCTAGATTATTTGTTAAAAACGAATCAGAATAACAATGATAAAAAATTTCATAAGTTCACAAAAAAACTTTTTCAAAGCTCAAAACATTTTTGAAAGATGTATGATTTGACAAGATACTAAACGTACCGATTAGCCTAGAAATCTTATTAACCTTTTTTTTTCAAAGCCTCAAACACACGACAGAAGCGAATACTCCACCAACAATGTCCATCGACAATTTCAAATCTTTTTGTAATGTTTATGGGCCCTTACAATTTATCTGTACCTTAGAGACGTTCTGCTAAGCTTGGCAAAATCTCATCTTAATTCGTACCCTTTGGGTTTTCTTTTTTATGCATGGCAGCAAAAAATTAAATAGGGGGGGGGGTGTCGCTGGGCAGCGACTAAACTTTTTCGCAGCTAAAGCCTGTTCGCTGCAATTTTGCTGTATCACGACACCATCCTCCTGCTTTCTAATTTAAGAATTTTGGGCTGTTCTGCTGCGTTTCCAGTGAGTTACAAAATTTTGAGCTCAAAAATCCCAGTTTTTGGTTTTCAGGTCGCTCGCATCTAAATTTTTTCGAGCTCACTGCTCCTAAGTGGCTGCAACTTTTATCCTCCATGTATAGGAACTCTACAACCAGGGCCCGAGGTGGACAAATGACGGGCTGGAAGTCGCTTTGGGCGAAAAAGCAAAGGGGTCCGGGGACAAAGCCCTGAAAACAAATTGGTAGTACATGCTGCTCATCTTAAAGACAGCGTCCGGGCAGATACGATATTTTAGCGTACAGGGGCTCCCGCCCTGATAAAGCTCTTGCCCAACTGGCAGTGCACTAATTTGCTTCTGAAGCGAGAAAACCGCTCGAGAATTTGCGACCGGGACGCCCCGGCGACCTCCCCCCCCCCCCTCCGCAATCGATAGCCAGATACGTATGCCGTACACGGTCAAGGCGTGGTGTCCCACCACCAATCTGCGTCTTAGGCTGCGTTCATACTGATTCCCATGTTCTGGAACTGTTCCCGCACAGTTCTCGCACTGTGCTGAAACTGTGCGGGAACAGTTCCAGAACATGGGAATCAGTATGAACGCAGCCTTAACCTCGGCGGCAAGCTTCCATATTCAAAAACAACAGCTTCTGAAATAGCCTATTTTCAATATTTTCTTACTCTGCAAGCTGCATCTTCGTAATCAGCGGGAAGAATAAGCCCAGGTAAGCGAAAAAGTTTTGTTCGAAATTTTGCCCGGACGCTGCCTCTAAATAATCTGTGCCTTAACAGGCAAACACTGGAGTTCACGCGTCACCGTCACTACCCGCACGCGCGAAGTCGCTTAAGCGATGCTATTTGTAACAGCATACATGTCTAGTTCTCAATGTATGCGTAACGATAAGGCGCCAAATTTCGTAACGAACCAAGAGGGGCTAGTGGAAACAAAATATGAAAAATTATGAAAAACTTATGTGAATGGAAGGAAAGATGTGAATTTAAATGACTCGTTTGCAACGCGCAGATGACGATATGGTACGAAACTGTTAAGTAGATGAACATAGGCCTGCAGGGGTCAACTGAGAAGTTTCATCAAAAAAATTATGTGACTGAAGGTGGGGCAAGCTTTTTCCTGAAAGTTTCCCGAGACTAAAAAATGGAAGAATGGTTTGCTTGTAATGCAGAGATGACGAAATTGCGCGAGATTTGATATGTACACGCGTATAGTAGTACGTACTGAGGAACAAAGTATGAAAAATTATGAAAAACTTATGTGAATGAAGAGCGTAGCCAATTTTTCCCAAATTAGGTGAGCAGTTGAGCTAATGCCCACCTTAGGTAGACAAAAATTCCGTTTCATCTATGTTTCCAAAATCTTTACATAAATGTGTTCTACACTTTATGTTTACTATACAGTAACATTCTGGTTACAAACTCTTCCTCTCCTCCCTGTTAAGATTCAAAATAGCTACGACGCCTTACTTTGGAAAGAAAAAGCGTCTTCTAATCGAATAACCTATGCAGCTGGTGAGATCAGATAGGAAATCGCAAAAATCGACAGTGACAAAGGCGAAGCCGTTTTACCGATGTCCATTTGCCATTTTCGTG